TGGATCTATTTCTGGACTTTCTGGGTTGTTCTGTTGATCTGCCTATTCATGCATTACAATAATGGTAACAGGTTATATAATACATCGAATAACTTTTTAAAAAGAATTTGAAGTGATATGCAAAAGAAGGGGGTCAGATTTCTTTATAGAAGAATGTTAGCCAATAAATATGGAAGGAATGACAATTAGGAAAACATAAATTTTTTTTTTTTTTTTTTTTTTTTGAGACAGAGTCTCGCTTTGTTGCCCAGGCTAGAGTGAGTGCCGTGGCGTCAGCCTAGCTCACAGCAACCTCAAACTCCTGGGCTCGAGTGATCCTTCTGCCTCAGCCTCCCGGGTAGCTGGGACTACAGGCATGCGCCACCATGCCCGGCTAATTTTTTTTTTTATATATATATATCAGTTGGCCAATTAATTTCTTTCTATTTATAGTAGAGACGGGGTCTCGCTCTTGCTCAGGCTGGTTTTGAACTCCTGACCTTGAGCAATCCGCCCGCCTCGGCCTCCCAGAGAGCTAGGATTACAGGCGTGAGCCACAGCGCCCGGCCAGGAAAACATAAATTTGAAGCCACTATCTTAAAAACTGAGATTCAGTAGGGATCATAATGGATGCTAAAACTATCAGTTTAAAGTTGTTGAAGAACAGGACATTTACATGGTCACACTTTTCTAATATTAATTTAATATTAATTACAAAGGGGGAAAGGTACCTTTACAATGGAAAAATCTGGAGAACAGTACCTTGACCAAGTGATCCAACTGGCACCATCAATAAGACAAACTGACATTGTGTACCTCCTGATGTGATGCAATGGAAACCACCTGTGTGGTATTCTTGCCCAAAATGTTTAACCTAAATATAATCATGAAGAAAAGATCTGACAAATCCAAATTATAGGACATTATACAAGACAACTAGCCTGAATTCTTCAAAATGAATATTTCATGAAAGATGAAAAAAAAGCGAGAGACTATTCTATATGAAAGAATACTAGAGACATGACAAATAAACAAATCTGCATGACATTTGATCCTGAATTTTGGATCCTAGATTGAATAAAGAAACTCTAAAGGAAATTTTTGGTGCAATTTGAATATGGAATGTGAATTAAATAATATTATTTTGTTGGCATACTAACAAAATTTTGATTATGTAAGCAAACATCCTTGTTTTTAGGCAATATAGACTGAAAAAGTATTTTGATGTCTCCACCTTAATTTCAAATGGTTCATAAAATATGTATATTTATATGTTCATTATATATATTATGTTTAAATATATAAATACAAAAGTAGGGAGACAGAGAACAAATGTGACAAAATGTTAACAAGTGTTTAATCTTGGTGAAAGATACATGGGTGTTCATTCTACTATTCTTTCAACTTTTGTGTAGGTTTGACTTTTTTTGTTTTTTTTTTTTTTTTTTTTTGAGACAGAGTCTCGCTTTGTTGTCCAGGCTAGAGTGAGTGCCATGGCGTCAGCCTAGCTCACAGCAACCTCAAACTCCTGGGCTCAAGCGATCCTTCTGCTTCAGCCTCCCGAGTAGCTGGGACTACAGGCATGCACCACCATGCCCGGCTAATTTTTTATATATATATCAGTTGGCCAATTAATTTCTTTCTATTTATAGTAGAGACGGGGTCTCGCTCTTGCTCAGGCTGGTTTTGAACTCCTGACCTTGAGCAATCCGCCCGCCTCGGCCTCCCAGAGAGCTAGGATTACAGGCGTGAGCCACCACGCCCGGCCTGACTTTTTTTGTTTTAGAGACAGGGTCTTGCTTTGTTGCTCAGGCTGGAGTGCAGTGATGTGATCATAGCTCACTGAAGTCTCAAACTCCTGGGCTCAAGCAATCCTCCCACCTCAGCCTCCTGAGTATCTAGGGCCATAGGTGTGCACCACCAAGCCCAGATAATTTTTGAATTTTTTCATAGAGACAGGGTCTTGCTATGTTGCCCAGGCTGGTCTCTAATTCCTGGCCTCAAGTTATCCTCACGTCTCGGCTTCCCAAAGTGCTGGGATTACAGGCATGAGCCACCACACCTGGTTTATATTTGACATTTTTCACAATAAAAAGTTCTTGAAAAAATGAATTAAATTTGGAAATCAAACTTAATCAAATTTATATTTAATGTAATCAAATTTATATTTAATTGACATTATATCAAAATTATAAATACACATATTCTTTGACCTAGTAATTCCACTTCTAGGAATTTATATGACATATGTTCAATGTTATTCATTGTAGCACTGTTAGATATAGCAAAAGATTGGGAACAATATCAATTTCCTTCAACAGGGTACTAGCAAAATGAAATGGAATAAAAAATCAAAAAAAGGCTGGGCGTGGTGGCTCATGCCTGTAAATCCTAACACTCTGGGAGGCTGAGGTGGGCAGATTGCTCAAGGTCAGGAGTTCGAAACCAGCCTGAGCAAGAGCAAGACCCCGTCTCTACTATAAATAGAAAGAAATTAATTGGCCAACTAATATCTATAGAAAAAATTTAGCCGGGCATGGTGTCACATGACTGTAGTCCCAGCTACTGGGGAGGCTGAGGCAGGAGGATTGCTTGAGCCCAGGAGTTTGAGGTTGCTGTGAGCTAGGTTGATGCCATGGCCCTCACTCTAGCCTGTGCAACAAAGCGAGACTCTGTCTCAAAAAAAAAAAAAAAATCAAAAAGGTCTTTGTGGACTAATATGAAATAATTTCCAAGATATAGTATCAAGTAAAAAAGGTAAGGTACAGAACAATACCTACAGTATTCTGTTCGACAGAATAAGTGGCCCCGGTTCTTGCCCTCCCTAAACCCACACACCTTGCAATATGACTTTGCAGTTCCTCACATACCTTGAATCTAGGCTAGCTAGCCTTGTGGCTTGCTTTGGTCAACAGAATAGAACAGAAATTATGTTGTTCCAGGGCCAAGTCTAGGCCTCCAGGAGCCTTGCGTGCTTCTGTTCTTGTGGAATCCTCACACCACAATGCTGGAGGGAGAGAGATCCTATGGAGTAGAGCTAAGCAATCTCAGCTGAAGTCATTCTAAACCAGCCTAGACCAGTTTACCTGGCCCTGAACAGCAGATGTGTCCAGCTTACCCAAAGACTCATGAGAAAAAAAGAACAATTGTTTTAAGTCACTCAGGTTTTTGAGGGGAAAAGGAGGGGGAGGTCATCCAGTAACAGCTCATAAAAATATGCTGCCATTTGTGTAAAATTTTGGAAAAAAAGACTATATAAAGGTATTTGTTTGCATATACAAACTTTCTCTGTGAGGATGCACAAGAAATTGAAAACCCAATTGCTTTGGGGAGAGGAGCTACGGTGCTGGAGGATGAAGGTGGGAAGGGAGAACTTGTTACCTTTTGAATTTTGAAACACATGAATATGTTTACAATGAAATGAAAAAATGTTTCTTTTTACTCAAATCTTTCCAGAACCCTTGAATCATCTCTAGGAGGTGAGATTATAAATTGGTACAATGTTAGTAGGGTGGAGGTGTGGCTTTAAGGGATGCCTATAAAAGTATGTAAATACATGTGCAATGCACAGACTATCTCTGTGAGAACCTGCCCAAAGCTGATATAATACTGTTTGCTTCTGAGAAAGGATCTGGCAGGAGTGGGGGTTGAAGGTAGGAGAAAGATTGACTTTTCCCCATATGTCCTTTTTACACTGAACTTGTGTAACCTTCCCAAAAGGAAAATAATAAAATGCACATACCTTTTGATCCAGCAATTTATCACTTCTAAGGATCTCTCCTGAAGAAATACTTAGAGAAGCAAACAAACGTATAAGAATGTTTACTTGAGTATACTAATAAATTATAAAGAACCTAAATGATCATTGATTTAGGATTAAATTATGGAATGTCCATGCAAGGGAATACTATACAGTTGCTAAAAATGAATCCATATCTCACAGAAAATAGATGAAAGAAAAAATAATAATAAATGAACCCATAAACCATCACCTAGCTCAACATAGACCATTCCAGAACTCTTGAAGCACTATCTAATGCCCACTTCCAGTCATTCACTCTATGAATTATCACAAACGGAATCAATCCATGTAACCATCACCCAGGTCCACAAAGAACATTCCAGAACTCTTGAAGCACCCTCCCCCCATGCCTACTGCTATTTACTCTTTAGGAATTACCACAAACTAAATAAACCCATTTTATCATTACCCAGGTCACATAGACCATTCTGTAGAACATCCACTTTGTGATAATTTATCAAGCTGTATACTTTTTTCTATATATGTTACACTCCAATAAAAAGTTTTAAAATATGCATGTGCACTTATTACAAATGTGTTTGCATATATACAGAAAAACATAATTACGTACACAAATCAAACTACTACATTATGGATGAAAGGGCTGGGGGCAGTTTTTGTTTTTACTTTGCATACTTCTATGAGGCTTGAACTTTTTACAATGAGCTTTTCTCCTTCATAATTTAAAATAAATGAAAAAGAAAAAGACTTAATAAAAAAGAAAATAATTTTAAACCACTGCAATGGGATGTTAATTTTGTCTCTGAGGAAGAAATATACACTGTCAGATTTACAGATTCTAGAATACTTGACCCACCACCTACAACAGCTACAACCTCCCTTCCTCCCCCCCCCAACCCCTAGATCCCAGAGGGAGACGAGGGAGGACAGATTCAGACTAAGAAACACTTCACTAGCTAGGGCTTTCACCCCAGACTTTACTGTAGTCACCAGAGAAATTAGACTAAAAATTCCTTTTGCCCAAAGTGGGCATGCCTCAGTGACCCAGACTAGAAGCTTCTTTCTCTGAGGGCTGCATTCTGACCTTAGCTCTGGAGTTCTAACCACTCCTTTACTGAGAAGAGATAGGTAAGCAATCCAGGTCTGAAGTGCTTTTTAGGTCCCTTTTCCCTCAGCTCCAGCCAAGTTCCCCTTGACCTTCAAGATGAGAGGAAGTGTCTTCTCAGAAGCCAAAAGAAAGGTACCAGACCTCTCTTACCACGCTTCACAGAAGAAAGTCCAGAATCCCCAAAAGAGAGAATCCAAAGAGGAACCCCCAAAGAGCATTCCACACAGAATCGACAGCTTTTAACTTCTTCCTACTGACAGAACCATACACTACTGTGACCTAATACTTTCCTGGATTGAAGTTCTTATGTTTTTTTTTAAAGATTTTTGTCCCTATCTAGCTATCTTTCACTCAGAATATTGTTTACTTAAGATGTTTCTTTAAATTAGCTCACTTTTTCTTTGCTATATTTATTTTTTAAATATATGCATTTAAAAATACCATTTGCCAAATTTATTTCAACAGAAAACTTCCTATCACTATCATAAAAAAATCAGTATCCCATGCCACAAATAGAAGGTACATATTAGTAAAGATTACCAAGGATGGTACTCCTTGACGAAGAGTCCTCATGCAAGTTCTCCTCAGGAAGGTCTGGAAGAGAAAAAGCTAGATGCTCCTCCTAGAGGTGAGAGTGTGTGGAGATTTTCCCCGGAGATTGCTTTTCAGCTTCTCCTATAGGTTAATGCTCCCCTGTGATTTTTTTCGGCTCCCCCTATAGGTTAGAATGACTTTCTTTCAGCTCCCTCTATAGGTTAGAGTGTGGGGTGAATTGTTCCACAAAACTGAACGGACTGTTCCATTTCACATACAGTGGGTAGCTGCTGAGGACACAGAAGGGAAAAACCAAAAAGAGTTTGCTTTTGTGATTGAGCAAGCATTGGGAAAGAAAGGGAAGGAGGAAGTTGGAAAATGTTGGACGTGGACTATGGTCTATATTCCTTGCCTCCATTTCCTAAGCTCCTGTTTGTTCAAGCCACTGCAATTCAACTTTTGCCCCCTTCACTTCACTAAAAGTACACTAACGAAAGTCTTTAGGGACCTCTGCATTTTCAGACCCGATGGAAAATTTTCAGTCATTTTAATTGACCCTGGTGGATTGCTCCTTCCTTAGCTTCACTGGTATTATTAGCTGCTTTTTTCTTGGCCACCACACCTCTTCTTCAGCCTGCCTCTTAAATGTTGATACTTTTTAAGATTTTGTCCCTAACCACTTTCTCCAGACGATTTCTGTTTTCATCTGTACCCACAGCTTCCACCTACATAAGCTAAAGACTCTCAAATCCCAAAAGACCAGAGGAGTCCTCTATTTTCCTCTCCAGAGTCATTTCCTATATTAGCAATGTTCTAGCTAGTATTTCTGTAATGATGTCTTGATCTCTTCTTGCCTGTATCTTATTTCCCTCTACCTGACCCCTACTTCCACCCCAAGTTTGTTCTTCAAGATTCAGCTTCAGTGTTACCTCTTGTAGGAAGCATTCCAGAACCACAACCCAAGCTATGTTGGGTGCTCTCCCTTTGTGCTCCCCAGCACATTCTAATCAGTGCTTCTAATGCTCAGTAAACTTCTGTTTATTACACTCTGTTGGTTTCCTTGAAGACATGAACTTAATCTATATTTAAAGTTCTCAGCACAGGGCTCAATACTTGTTAAATTAATAAACACAAGAAATTCCTGAGGCTGGGTGCTGTGGCTCACGCCTGTAATCCAAGCACTCTGGGAGGCTGAGGCAGGAGGATTGCTTGAGGTCAGGAGTTGGAGACAAGCCTGAGCAAGAGCGAGACCCTGTCTCTACAAAAATTAGAAAAAAATAGCTGGGTGTGGTGGCGCATGCCTGTAGTCCCAGCTACTGGGGAGGCTGAGGCAGGAGGATTGCTTGAGCCCTGGAGTTGGAGGTTGCAGTGAGCTACGATGACGCCACTGCACTCCAGCCTGGGCAAGAGCGAGGCTCTTATTTCAAAAAGAAAAACAAAAAAAGAAAATTCCTGAGCTATGAATAAACACAGAAGAAAAGGAGCTGGTAGGTGGTGGTTGGGCTGGGTATGAACCAGGGGAATTTCAAACATGAGTACTTAGATATTCTTTCCTTCCTTCCACATAGACAGCCAGAGCTGGTGGGGCACCAGGGTCAGAGCCAAGGAGATGGCTAGGGCTGGGGTTGGGGGGGGGCAGCTAGGGTGGTGGCTGGCAGGGCAGGAGATTGGTGATACACAGGAGAAAGCTGTAATTATATTGAGATAAAGGGAGCCAGGTTTCTCAGAAAATGGAGTTACAAAGCAGGGTCAGGCCTGGTTAGCACTCAGATGGGAGAAAATAGTTACAAATATGGATAGTGTGGACAGTGCAATGAACTCCATGGTGTTGAACTGGAATCAGAGGTATAGTTTGAACTCATGATTTTAATAAACAGATATAGATAGGTGCATATATACACACACCTTGGTTTTTAAATGTTCTCTATTTAAAAGAATCAGGGCTCCTTGCCCCAGGGGCTGGGGCAAGGAAACTATAATCTGGGATACCTTGTGCCAGAAAGTAAAAAACTGCTCAAAAGGCCGGGCGCGGTGGCTCACGCCTGTAATCCTAGCACTCTGGGAGGCCGAGGCGGGCGGATTGCTCGAGGTTGGGAGTTCGAAACCATCCTGAGCGAGACCCCGTCTCTACTAAAAATAGAAAGAAATTAATTGACCAACTAAAAATATATATACAAAAAATTAGCCGGGCATGGTGGCACATGCCTGTAGTCCCAGCTACTTGGGAGGCTGAGGCAGGAGGATCGCTTGAGCCCAGGAGTTTGAGGTTGCTGTGAGCTAGGCTGACGCCACGGCACTCACAAAAAAAAAAAAAAAAAAAAAAAAAAAAAAAAACTGCTCAAAAAATGATAGGGATTTGTCAAATGGACACAGAGGTGAGCTTGGAGTGGCCCTTACTGTCCAAATATGAGATAACTTGATTTCATCAAAATAATTATGGTAATGGATTAAAATGAACAGGAGTCCATGAATCCACACTGATGTAAATAGAGAAAAGAAAGTTCTTTACAGAATGCTAATAAATGTAAAATGAATGATGGAATTAGTCACCAATAGGTAACTATCATTATACCATCAAGCTAGAAAGATCAATAAATACTAAAAGTAGTAGATGAAAAGTCTGATGAGAAGATGGAATATTTATAGTCTTGAAGTATCTCCATAAAAAATACTTTAATTTCAATGGCAAAAGACTAACTATACAGTTACAGTGGAGAAACATGGTAGATACCACCTTAACCAAGGGATCAAGGTTATCATTACTAATAACAGGACAAAGTGACCCCATGTGCCTCCTGAAATGATACACTGAGAATGTAGCATCACTTCTGTGGTATTTCTGTCCAAAATGCATAACTTGAATTTAATCACAAGGAAACAACAGTCAAACCCAAATTGAGAGACATTTTTCAAAATAACTAGCTAGTACTTTTCAAAATTATGAAGATCATGAAAGACAAGGGTAGACTGAGGGACTTCCAAATTGAGTGAGCCTTAAAACACATAATGCCTGGATTGAATCCTGGACTAGCAGGAAAAAAATATTTTTATTTTATTTTATAGTTTATTCCTGCCCACCTTTGCCACACTGACCCACACCACTGACATTGGCATGGACCAGGTGACATGCTTATGCCAATGGCTGTGGATAGATATTCCCTTTGCCCTTTCTGAGCAGAAGCTTTAGGTGTGATTGTGGATGTGGCTGGCTTCCTCCTTCTCCGTTATTCTCCAGCCCGAGAACAGCATGCTCCATCCAGGTAGCCGCAACTCCTGCAGATTTTCCCTTTTGCTAAAAAGAGCATTATTGGAACCACAGGCGGAATTTGAATAGGTCTGTATATTAGATGGCAATTTTGTATCAAAGTTAATTTCCTGATTTTGATAGTTGTAATGTGGTTATGTAGAATTTCCTTGTCATTAGGAAATTTATACTGAAGCATGTAAGGGCAAAGTGGTATCTTATCTGTAACTCATTCTCAGATGGTTCAGAAAAAAATGTGTATGTATGTGGGGGGAGGGAAGGAGAGAGAGGGAGAATAGCAAAGCAAACATGGTTAAATGTTAACAATTGGGAAACCTGGGTGAAGGATATGTGCGAGTTCTTTGGGCTATTCTTACAATGTTTTTCTAGGTTTGAAATTATTTCCAAATGCGAAGTCTTAAAGTAATTAATATATTTTTTAAAAACTGAAAATAAAATTGATAATATGAATTATGTATAAAAGGATTTTTGCCTATTTACCCACCACCCATCTTGTTCTAAAAATAATTTATAGAGGCTTATAAATATGTAAAAATATAACAAGATAAAATAATTTGAGAACAACCAAGAAACATGTGTGACGCTGGCAAGAACTTTCTATTTTTTTTTAACCTTCAAGTGCTGGATTTATGGAAAGGAATCCTCTAAATTGTCAAATTCTACAAAATATTCTTGAAAATTTGACAGATTATATGGAGAGGTTTCTCTTTGTTTTTGGAAACAGCCCAAACTTCAATACAGCTATTAGTTCTTATGTGTTCCTGATAGCCTTTCTTCAAAACTTTACCTGCAATTAGACACAGAGAATGAACTATTGGGTATGAGACAGAAAATAATTACCAATAAGAATAAAAGACTTTTAAAACATTTATAAATTTTATGCATGTATACACACTTTATTAAATTTGCATTCTAAGATATACACAAGGCCAGCATTTCACAAAACTTATTATTATTCCAAAAGCAGTTATCATGAAACACAATGATTATATAAGTTGATCAAGCAAAAACATTATCTACAGGATTTTCTTACTGTATCACCTCTTGTACTTATTTTCAAATAGAAGCCTCAAATATATGCTATAATATTAGAATAGGAAGAAAGAATTTTACTTTTATAACAATGATCACTTTTCAAATATTAGACTTTATATAAAAATAAAGGGTATTGTCCACAAAGCTCACCTGTGGGTTAAGCATATCTCTTTTACTTATTTTAAAACAACCCCTGTACAAACTTAACTTTCTAGTCCATATAAACAATAAAAACTAAAAACAAACCTTGATTTAAATAATAAAGTGAATCATCTTGCCTCCTAGTTCTCATACCATTAGAACAATTTCAGTTTCCTGTCCCAGTTCTACCCCTCCACTGAATTTCAAAAACTAATTTAAATATCATAATATTTCAAAGTAATTTCTTAATAGTCCTAAATCAGAGCCCAAAACTGATGGCCAAAAGTGTCCCTTTAAGGCAAAGACGACAGTAGAGTGAAGGTGGATAAATCTCCTGTAAGACAAAACCATCTATTATCATTGTAGAGGCAGAAACATTTGGACACAGATCTTTTCCAAACAGAAGAGAGACACCAAAGACCATAAAATAATTTTTTCTTTATAATGGCATACTAGGGGACAAGCTTCATAATAGATATATTTATGTTAGGTTTGAAGGATTATGGGCTTTGCACAGGAAAGAGCAATACAAGA